CAGTTCACTAATTTTAGCTTCATAAAGCAATTGGTTAAAAAGAGGGGGGTTATCATTGAGATCAGTTACATCAACGGTTACAACAGTATCACTGCTCAAGGGCAGCATGCCACCATCTATTGCCCTTACTAGTAACTTATGTTGTTTAATTTGTTCATAGTCCAAAGTTCTTGCTGTAAGAATAAGTCCAGTGCTGCTGTCTATGTGGAAGTAGTCATGACTTTCACTATTCTCCTCAACCAATTGATAGGAAATCCCTCTGTTTGTTCCAGAATCGGCATCTGTAGCGCTCACTTGTACAACAGATGTCCCAACAACAAATGCCTCAGAAAGGGTTGCAGTGTAAGACTGTTCTGTAAACACAGGTGGATTATCATTGATGTCTTCCACTATTATGTCTACAAACACATCAGCATGCGCCCCAGTTAGGGAGTCTGTTGCTCGAATACTCAGTTTGTAGGCTGGATGAGACTCAAAGTCAAGAAGGGCAACAACATTTATAACTCCAGTGTTGAAGTTGATAGTGAACTGATTGAAAGGATCTCCATCTATGATGCTGTAAAACACCTTAAGTCCTTCTGGGCTGTTTGCCTGTACATGTACCACAGGACTATGGAGCTGAATGTTTTCTGGTATCTCTACACTGTAGAAAGGCTTTTCGAAAACTGGCATAGCTTTACTCATAACTGTAATTGGGACTGTAACTTCAGCAGAAAAAGCAGGGTCTCCTCCATCTTTTGCCACTACTGTGACCAGATACTCCTTATTTAGTGTGTCTAGTTCAAACTTCTTCTTCAGTGAGATCTCACCAGTGGGATCAATTTGGAAATGTTCATGATGTTCTTTCAGATAGTAATGCACCTCTCCATTTCTGCCTGTATCTTTATCTACCGCAGTGACACGTCGAATAACATGGCCTACTTCAGAGTCTACTTTAACGACAGCATAATACGGAAGATTCACAAAAAATGGAGCATTATCATTTACATCTTCCACTGTGACTTCAACTACAATGTGTGCAACAACTGATGGTTTATACCCCTCTGTCACTTCTATGACCACATCAAAAGATTCTTGCCGTTCGCGATCAAATGGTATTCCTGTTGTTGAAAGGACTCCTGAAGTTGGGCTTATTTTAAATCTGCTGTCTGGGTTTAGAATATGGTAAAACAAAGGCTCATTTATTTGATTCCCTATAGCAGTAACTACAACTATTGTTTTTGCCTCTGTGGAATTCTCCTGCACTGTTGCAGAGTAAGAACTCTGTGTGAACTTCAGCCGGCTGGCTTTGCTTTCTTTCACGTTAATTTTTACAGATGCAGTGCTTGCAAATCTGCCATCAGATGCTCTCACTGTTAATTCATATCTGCTTCTTAACTGAGTTGTATTTTGTACTGTTATATCTCCAGTCTTAGGGTTTATTGAAAATTTTTCTCCAATGTTGCCTTCAATAATGGAATACATTAATTGTGAAAAAATGCCTGAATCGGCATCAGTGGCATTTACGCTAATGACTTTCACACCTTTATAGGTTGGAACCAAAACAGATGTCTCATACAACTCTCTCGAAAACACGGGAGGGCAATCGTTGATGTCAATTACATAAATAGTAACATTAGCTGCATATTCTGCATATAAACGTGGTATTCCCATATCATGTACTTGCACTGAAAAGTGGAAAATATTTGTCTCCTCATA